AACAGCGGTCTTCCTCGGCTACAGGTAAATTGTAGAAACTACCTGCACTCTGCTATTCATTTCTCCCGTTTCCATGGTTATTATTCTGTCTGTTTTCCTAGGTTACCTGGTGAAGACCAATCAACAGTTGTTATTAATTTTCAAATCAGACTCTTAATTAAAGTCTGTTTTGTTTAGGTGGTTTTTGCAGTGTCTGACTGCTTTTCAGTTCTTTGATTTTTAATGGAAGGCTGTACTTTTAACTTATCTTCACAAGAAATTGAATGGTGTCTATAATAGCAGAGCCTTTTTTCTTATGCATATAATGGTAGATTGGAATGAAAGACAGGATTAGGAAGATTAAAATAGAGGGAGGTAAAAGACCTCTTAGTCTGGCTTTTATAATTACTGATTGCAGCATAATATTCTGTATTTTCTACTGCTTTATTTGCTTGTTTGGATTTTAATTAAACCAGTTTGTAACTGTTTACAAACAGTAACCTTCCTAGCTTATGTTTGTTGTACTTGCCCTAACACCTGTTCTCTACAAGCATTTGCCAACTTGTCCACATTAATCATAAGAAGCTGCTGTGAAGCACCAAATGGCTTTTTGCAATCAAAGTGTCTGTTATTGTATTGTGATGGAATAAGTGTGTCATGCTTTATAGGTCTGAAATTCATTGCCTGAAGAATACCAAAATGGTATTAAAAGGGGAGATTACCTCCAATTAGAATTTATAGTAAGGGTTGGACTCTGGAAATAATTGGTTTGATTGAATAAGAGTTTGAAGTCAAGACTTGCTAGTCTTTTTGGGACAGTTTTGGCCATTATATTTGTATTATTAGACTGTACAAATGTAGTATTTTGATTCATAAGTGTATTTGATCAACAATAACCAATCATATTAAAAGCAGCATGATATTTAATGGTCTGATTTTGGCATTGTTGAGAATCATTCTGATTGTAGATGGCTATGTGATTGTAGATGGCTATGTGATATGTGATAGTAGATGGCTATGTGATTGTAGAGTAGTACAGATATTAGCCTTATCTGTATAGTATAATAACTTTGATTGATATTAGTGTCAAAACAGGTTTTTGTAATTTATCAAATATATCTCGGTGTCCTGTTGCCTTACAGTCAGTCTGTGGTTATCACAATAGGTTATTTTCACTAATAGTGTTAGTACTATAGGGAACTTGTTAACCCGAACATATGAAAGAAAACAAGAACTATTAGAAAAGCTTTGATGAGGTAAATGCTGGTAGGGTGGGGTTACTTATTAAATTGATGGATGGAATGGAGTAAGTTTCCTGACATTAAATGTATGCACTACTTTACATTAACCTGAATTATAAGCTGTTTAATGTCTTAAAAGTAGGCTATTGTAGGTAAAATCTGGTACATTCTATTTTAATAAATAATTGAAACAATAATGGCTAACACTTTTAAGATTTGTCATGAAATTACACTGATTGAAACAAAAGAAATGTCCCAGTAACTGACAAAATATAAAGATCAAATTCTTATTTTTTTTTGACAGTCTATTGAAAATGTGGAGTTAATTGCAATAATTATGTAATAAAGATGGTGAATTTCCTGTAAGATTGGTCAGTTGAACCAGTTAAAGACACTAAGTTATTACCTATATTTACATTTATAATTGTGATTGGGCAACACTTAATTGTCAAATTACAAGTTTGAATGTTGTAACATTTATAATTCTAACTAGTTTGCATGTCAGTGACTTCTTTTTAATGTGTTAAAGTTATCAGTTGAAAAATAAGGCAAATTTCTGCTCAGCTGTTGACAGCGCAGTCAGTTTGTCGTGAGAGTTATCAATTTACCAAATTCGTATCACAAGTTTGACCATTCACACATACTTGATAAGTAGTATTATGTAAACATACAATATTGGGTTTAGGACTGATTATAGAAGCATATCTGTATGTCATAGTTACTTGATAAACAGATTTATAGTAGTTCCTTATATTGTGTCACTTTCATTGCCTAAATAAGGAATATATAAATTTTAAAAGATGTCAACTGAAAAAGGGCCATTGTTTATATAGTTATTATATAAATTGCTATTTCACTAAAAAGTTTGCACATGTGCAATGCTTACATGATTTACCCAAATAGAAACATTGCAGGAAAATAAAGACTTTTAATTGGAAAAAGTTCTTGAAAATAAAAAATCTTTGATCAAATACATGTTTGGGATCATGTTCAAGAATTTTTATAATTAGAAGTACAAACCATTATTTTGATTCTGTGCCATTTTCCCCACCCACCCACACATACAATTAATAATGAAGATGATTAATTATTTATAGAAATAAAATGGCAAAAGTTTGGAGAAAAAAAATTCAAGTGGAGGTTTGTAAATGTTCAACCAATACCATATGTTAGAGACATGGCGGAATTTAAAGCTATTGACCACTATGATATAATGATCAGTTAATAAAGTTGACCAAATTAAAGATTAAAGGATTAAAATTCCTGCAGTTTAACTCCTTATCACTGTACACTGACTTAGTCATAGTGTGCAGTAGAGAGATAGGCCAAGTTCTGTGTAAATATTGAAAGCTTGTAAGACATGTTACAAATGTGTGCTGATCCTTACTAAACTATGTCAAGAGCTTTACCAGCAAGATTTTACTTGTCAGAATTAAAAGACTACATGAAACAAGTAATACTGCATGTCCTGCTGATGTTGTGTAGAACAAAGTGCTGTTCTTGCTTCCAGTAAGTAACATGTACTATTGTCCATTGTTTGATGGTAGTTTGTGATCTACTGTGGCCTGCTTGTGCCTTAAATAATGTAAGGTCTCCCTCCTCCCAATAAATCTGGAAAAGTGCAATATCACCTTTGCAGTGTTCCAAACAAAATTGGGGGTAATAGCATCACAATATAGAAAGAATTGAGAAGCCCATTGTAAAGTTGGGTTTGCAGCAGGCATAGATAGCTCACAGTGCTGCAGGTTTTACCATTATAGCCATTGATGCTCATGTAACTTAAGATATGCATAACAGGTGTTTGTAGACATTACAGCATGTTTATACAAGTGGTTCAGAAGTACTTCTATTAAGATACAAGTGGGACATTATTTTAATTAAGAGCTCAAAAATGCAAACAAAAAAAGACATTTTTTACAATTTGTACTGTTAATGACTTTTTTATCACAGCTTATAAGACAAGGAACTACGTGCAATTATTTGAGGGAAAACTTTGTATATATTTTATATAAGACAAAGTAGTTGATATGTTGTTGCTAATCTGTCACTAAGTTATTGAAATACAGGTTAGTTTTGGTAGTGTTAAACAATTAATCATAATGGCCAATTGAAATAAAATATGGATTATAGATCCAATTATTCTATAATATACCAGAAGAAAAAGCTGTTTTGTTTGATAATTCTTTTAGAAACAGTTGAAGAAATGTTGGTGGCATTTGAAGCAGATATGTAAGAATGTATTTAACATATGTTACTATTACGTGTTTAAAAACCACAAGATAGAGAGAATTCTCTGAGACGTCTGCGTGATCAATCATTAATAGCAGTTAAGGATATATTTTTTATCTTTTTGAGATTTTTTATTATATTTCTAAATATATGATATTGGTATATACCAAAGTGATAGGCTTAATTTTGTATCTTGTACAGTATGGTAGAGATGTAAAATGATTTAGCATATGCTACTTTCATTTCTCGATGGTATTTACAGTAGATTTACTCTGAAATATTTGGCCGTCAATCAAATAAGTCTGTTAAAATTGCACTTGAATATCATTAAACTGAATTAGCTGATTGTGCAGTTTGAAAGTAACCTCAGACTGTCATAAAATACATCTTATTCTTTACATACTGGCATGCGAGCAGTTCCCGTACAGAAGCAGTACCCGTATTTTTCATTTAAACGCTTGATTTTTACATGCATTCTTCAAAAATTCATTTCAAATCAAGCAGATACATAAACGAGACAAAATCTAAGTGTCAGTTCGGCAGTACGTATAAAAAGTCTCATTTTAAATCACTTTCACCTGTGCGTTGTCAAAACGTGACCTTGTTTTATCTGGGGGATTCCGTCCTTGCGCGCATGCGCAAACATACTTACACGTGAGGCATGTTAAAGGGTTTTCCACTAATACCACCTGTTTACAGATAAGAAGGCAATGTGATGAAAACTTGTTTAATTATCAGAATTTTGACCAATATTACTATATAAAATAATTTTATGGCTTTGATGCGTAAAATATCATGCATACAAGCATGCCATCGCATGTGAATGCGTTGGGGGTAACGGTACCGGGTAATAGATACACGCGTTTAGTCTACTTTCTATTTCCTGAATTACATCTATTTATCTCTTAGAAAATGGTCTGTTCAACAATTATAAATGAAAAATAGGTCCGATATAATAAAATTGTATAATTATAATGGCTTAAATTTTATGTACGGGAACTACTTCTCTTCATACAAAATAATGGATAATTTCTGTACCCCATATGAGGCCTCATAACTAAGGGTTATTCTATGTTTAGAACATGATGGAATTTCCATGATTTGTGTGACGAGCCGAATATTGATGTGTAACATTCAAATTTTGGTGAGTGAGCGTAATAAAAAATAATGTTTAAGTAACTACGATTTTTGTATGGGAACTGCTCGCATGCCAGTAGATCTAGGACTTAAAATGATGTATTATTTTGAGAAAATTGGCAGAGATCAGAAAAAATGCTACAAAATATAGCAAAAACCATGAAAGCCTTTCTGACATTATTTCTTTCAAAAAGTTTAGAATTCACTTTACAGAGATAGGTATTTATTTATATTTATTTCTTTGACATTGTATATCTGATTTAATTAATTATGTCAGCTGTTTTATTTCTTGTTCAGGATTATCTCCCCTTCTTCCATTGCCACACCATTGATTATGTGACCAGTAGTCACAAATGTGAGCTAAGTGCATTATAATGATATTGTTATAATGATTATATTTTTATATATTTTCAGGTCAACAGTATATATAGAAATCACACCATAAGACATTTCATCCACATAGTCATTGTAAAAATAGTCATCTTTCACACAGAAAGGGTAAGTAAACATATATATTATAAAATTTGTATTATCTTTGGCAATTTATGAATTTAAATATACCATTGCAGCATGTCAAATAGACAAAGTGATGCTCCTTTGGCTGTACAGAATTCTCGTTGACCTGATACTGCAATAATTCCAAGTGGCATTTATGTCCCCAACCATTAAGATATTAAACCTCTATAGAATTTAAATTGATCAATGGCATTTTACAAACTTAGGCTGGTTTATTTAGGAGTAAATTTTGTAAATTGATAAATAAAAATATATCTGACCACACTTCAGACTTCTATTGACACTTTTTCAGATATTTCCAAATGTCACCATATTCATGTATAAATAATGAGTTCTGCTTAAAGCCGATGCCAAGGGCTCTTGATGGTAGTTTGCATTTACCACTACCCTCAATGACCTGATGGTAGTTTGCATTTAGTATTTTACCACTACCATTCATGAACAGGCTTTACTAAACCAAGCATGCAACATTGACAATTTTGTTGTTTTTTCCTATTTTATGACTGAAAGAACAGATATCACCAGCCTGTCAGATATTTTAATTATGTTGCCAATGCTGAAATACATTTTAAAACCTGTAAATAGAACCAGACATAACAAGCAGCAGCAAATTTTTGTCAAGTATCTTAAAATAGTAACTGTGCAGTTTTGGGAGAAACTTGCAATTTACATTTATTTTCGTATTTCACAGTTTCGAAAAAAAGGGGGGAAATTAATTTTGTTTCTGTGTGTGGTGTGAAACATCTTTGGTGGTAGGCAGTCAGAATGGATTACACATTACATGCTTAAGATTATGTAAAATCAGGCAGAAGATATTAACCGGTGTTACCTAGGGATATCACCTTATTCTTTTCCCTCTGCAGGAATCTACTGTCCTGGTCACTAATGATTATTAAGTAGGCCGCTGCATTCAGAATAGCCCAGTTGTCACATTTATAAAAATTTTTGGTCATACAAAATTGACTCTTATACAATTTTCTGTTTTATTAGCTTTTTATATACATTGTAATAGTAAGCATGTTTTATTTAAGATAACCATGCAGAACCTTCAGCAATTACAGCACAATATATTAATGAGTTGTGTGTGTGGCCATTTGCCGTTTCTTTTATTCTCAGGACCCTAAAAATAAAACATTTCAATTGGAATTTGTCTTGAAACAAGGATGAACTTCAGACTAAATTAGAGTTCTTTTTAAAGTTATGAGGTTTTCCACCACTGATCTAAATAAATTACCAGATAGTCCGTGAAGGGGGAATAGCTCTGTGACCAATTCTTATTGACTGTACTAATCCTGAGTTATGATTTTCAACAAGTTTCTGAAATACAGAGAAATTAGCATATTTCTCACATAATTTTGGTCCAGTTTTTTTGTGTGGCCATAACCTTTTGTGACACCTTACAATTCATTCTTTGTTGATTGCAGCTGATAGGCTTATATTGAAAGACAGGTAAAGATGGTATCTTAAAGGGTTGGTAGTCCATCTTCAAAGGCTTATCGTGACATTATCACTAAAACTGTATTAAAACTTCAACTAATTACAACTATTTATGAATAAATATTATCAATTAACTGGCCGATATGAAATACTATTTTAAACTCGTTGTCTAACAATGATAAGATAAAATATACAAGTAGGGCCATGTTTATGAGATGATTTTAGCAGAACAAAAATAGTAGTTTTAATTTTAAGAATTCCTGCTACTAAAGAATGATTATTCAATTTTAAAGGGTCTTTGATGAATAATTAACAATAAAAGACTGTTAATTCTTAGGCCCAGCACTAATTAAACAGATGTTTGAAGATGAATTGACGTGACAGAACAATGGTTGTATCATAAAGTAAGAAATTGATAAAAATCAATGCTTAAACAATTGGCTTGTAATATGAAAAGCAGATAATCAGGAGATGCAAAGCAAACTTTTTTTGTTAAATTTTCTGAAAATGTTTTATGCATCAGGTTTAAGGTGGTTTTTGTAGCTTCCCCACCGGATCATGGCAGTAAGCCACTTTGAAAATCACCAGAGCAATGAGTCTAAAAGAACTAGAAGCAAGTTTTACTTCATTTGAAAATGAGGTCAAAGCTCACATTTTATTGACACACTCTGTATCTATCATTAAACCCTATATTGTATTGAAACCTCTATAGGTAACATAAATGGTTCCGAAATGAAAGCATGGCAAGTTTCTTAATCAAATTTAGCTGCAGTGTAAGGCCTTCTAATGTCGGAACTGTAAGATGTTAGACTCTGCCACCAGTATAGAGCCAGGCCAGCCTGCACATCTTTGACTCAAACTTTGTATATTGACAGTGAAATCCCTTTAACTCTGAATGGATTGTTCCAAATTTAAAGCTGGACATAACCCATTATTCGCGCAGGTTGAAGGTTAAACTTGCTTGCAGCAGTAACCATAAGCTCCTTTTATGAAAAAAATAGAAATAAACTTTAATTTAAAATGATAACTAAATGGAGCTGTTGTAAGAATCATGATTGGGAGAATTTATATTTTAGTTTTATTGTTCTGTTAAAACATGACACTTATTTCATAAGTAGTTATTATTTGATAGGTTAAGAATAATAATAATACAAGGACTATATTTACTATAGCATACCATATATTATAGTATAAATGATTTATTGTTATACAGCTAATAAACTCATCCAATTTAAAATATAGGTTAAAAAAATCCTCTGTGCATCTTGAATTGCAGTGTCAAATAACCTTTAAAGACACACCCCACATTTTATTGACACACCCCACATTTTATTGACACACCCAGTTTATATGTGAATGGAATATTGAAAGATTGCCCTTTAAAATTCAAATATTCAATAACCTACCAATAACATACCAAATTTCATTAAGATTTAACCAGTGTAATACTGTACATAATGTTAGCTTAATAAATTTCAGTATCAAAATAATTTAGTAAACCGACTACATGAAGATGAAATGAAATAACCTTTGATTGATTCTTATTTAGAGGTGTAATAGATTGATTGTAATAGAGCATCTATTTGTTGTCATTCTATAAAGTTTCAAACCATCTGAAGATGGTATCATCACAAACACTGCTTGAATTTCAAATAAATCAACTCATGAAGATAAAATTATATAAGCATATTGACTTAATTGGATTTTTATTAATAATTTGTCTATTATAATTGAATTTTATTGACATCTTGTCTGTTTAATATAATCCTGTAATGTTCACATTAGATATACTTAAAACTAGACCTCCAAACTAGATTTTCAAATTCCACTGCAAATGTGCATTATGCCCTAGAGACAGCATTATGTAAATCACATTTATGTGCTTATATGCCCACTGAATAGAACTAATTTTGTTAACAGGTGTTAAAATGTCTTTTTTATCACAACTGAATTGTTTGAGTTGTTTAAAATTACTGAATATCAAATTAAGAATGTTAAGACATTGTCCATGTGTAATGACTCCAATTAAATCTGATTTTAAATTTTGTTTTACAAATATTTTCGTTAACCTTTTCAGTTTCTTATGACAGACTCGTTTTCGCGTGAGTTCTCTTGAAGTGTAGTTTTACCCAGGGTTATGTCCTCGTCAGTTTATGTTTGATTTAAGCCCGTATCATTTGTCGACACGAAATAACTTAAGCAGTTATTAGACTTATATAGGTCTGAAACTGTAGACCCGAATTAAAACCTTTCATACGGTTGTTTTGCCTGTCAATCAATTATATCGGCACAGGTGGCTTTCGATTGCTACAGGAATTAAATGATCTTTATCGGTAATCATGATAAAACTCTAAATACATACAAAATAAAACGATTGAATACAACAGGTTTGCCTTTGGTTGTTAAAAAACCATGCCGTGTCATGTAACCAACATATGAATACTGTTTTAATGTATGGCTCTTCAATACCTTAATTGTTTTGGCCTTTGCTTTAAGGATGACACTCTTAGTTTTATGAGAAATTTACGACATTTTGCATACTTTTCTGAAAGGAAGAACAAAGTAAAGACTATTTTTTTCATCACAAAAAAGGAATGTTAAAAATGAGATATTTGATAATTTAAATAAAAAATGTTAATCAGAAAGGTAATATAATTAAATGATTTTTAATGAATTTTTTCATGTTATAGAAGAGAAGAATACCTTTCTTGTTATGAGTATGAAATAAAAAGTTTGAGGATGATTTTTAGGGACAAATATTAAACTGATTTCAATTGAAAGCTGAGAAATTTTGAAAGTGAATGTAAAATGTTTTGACTGCAATTTCATTTAAACTTGCCAAAACAAATGATTGAATGAGGCATTGTGCTGAGGAAAGTGGTTGTTTCCTTGTCTCATTTTCTCTTGTACCTTATAATTTACATGGCAGTTGCTGAAATATTAACCTGTTTTGATTGTCCAAGTGTTCACATGATCTCCGTATTGACAAGGACCTGACCCACAATGCCGTTTGTGAAGGGGGCGGAGAAGCCCGCGTAAAACTACACTCCTAATCAGGTCCCTTGTTTGAAATAGAATAGTGTCCAACTCTATCTTTATATCTTGACAGCTTTTGTTGAAAAAACATACATTGAAGATTGACAAGCGATATTTTTCATCACAAGACAATCTTTGGTCATCAAAGTTAAATATATGTTACTGATTTCAATGAACTCAATAAAGTCAGTGACTTTTCACACCTTTTCTATAAAATCTGATGATTTTGACCAAAGCAAGGGTCATTTGGTAATTAGTGGAAGTGTCAGCATCACAAGAAGCTTGACAAATCATCTTGGTCAGTGAAAAGCATATGGCATTCATCTGGGTCTTGTAAAAGCATGTATAATCAATCATCTTAAAGAACCTGATCTGTCTGTAATGATTTAAACTTTGGGAATTTGTTCCACTTTCTGCATTTTGACAACAAATATTAATGTACCTTGGAGTTTGAATGGTGAAAATAGATTATAGAAGAACACATTTCAGACTGTTGGGAATAATTTGAACACTGATAATTGCTGGAGATACAAGTGTGGTCAAATTATGTGCTGCTTATTATATGCTGAAAGCTCATTTTTCATCAAATAACCTTTCATCTGTTAGGGTTCATGAAACATTCAATAGACCTCCTATGTAAAACTTACAATATCTTTAAGATAGTTTTCAAAAATAAATAAGGAAAAAAGAAATAAAACAAACCTACCAAATCTTAAATTTTTTACTACATGTATCTATTAAAGGATGTTTTTTTTTGTGTAGATGATATTCAGGTTCTATGACCATGTAACAATTGTAAATAAGAAAAATAACTATTAGAAAAATTTCAATAATATTTTAGGATTCCACACTTTTCCAATTTTTGACAAAGCTTTGTCCTGTTCAATATTTTGTTTCAATGTTGCACCAATATGCAATTTGCTTTATGGGAAATTTCAAGATAAATATTTATTATAATGCAAAAAAAAAAAAGAAGAGAAAAATACTGCTATGAAGCAATTTGTCATTTATGGTTAACTGATGAATTTACGATTTTCCTACTTTGGTTATTAATTTGTTAGACTAACAAAGTTATTTTAAAAGTATAATGTTGTACCATACTAGAATTGAATCCTAGTTAGTCATGCCGATGGTTTTATTGATAATATACAAATTTAATGACTTCCCTTTTCATTAAAAAAATCACCAATTTAAAAGCACTTAAAAGTTACATTTAAATCGTTGATTATTTATTTTTTCTTAAATAGAATGTTAATAGGCAATATTGCTGATGTTAATATTCAGTTAATTTTTTTTTGTGGTTTAATTTTAGTGCCATTATTCATCACCTATGTTGCATTATAAAAGCCACAGTGCACAAATTTTTTTCTATGTAATTAATATACTCTAGCGCTTTTGAAAAATCATTTATTTCGTAAATATGATATTTTCATACAACATGACTCAGGCTTGAAAATGTCTCATTTTACTGTGCCTAGAAAGGTAGAAGTCAAAGTGCAACTCATTTGTACAGTCAAAAGAAATTTAACATAGTATGTAAATAGGTGCAGCTAATGTTAAATTAACATTCTGAGTTAGAGAAGCGAAAAAAATGGAAAAGGATGAAAATAAAATTGGAGAAGGACGCATTGTGCATCAATATAAATAATTCTTTAAGTGATTCAGCATATGTAAAATGTCATCATAAAGCATGTTTTGTGCCATGCTGTAACAATGTCGAACACTTAATTTACACATTATCTTTTTTTCAGCTTGGTAATATGTCCTAATCTTATTAATTTATTACCTCTTTGATGGGAAAATATTTCACAGGCCATATCACATGGAATTGTGTTTGTGCATAACTTGTGTGTACTGTGTAACATGATCTCTGATAAAGAAAATGCACATTTACTTGTGCTTGTAAAACGGTATAAAAATGTAACTAAAAACGGTGGTTGTGTTACCAGTGTAAACTATATAGATTTAAACTGGCTTGATTTCATTTCTTCTAATGAGTTTTTCTGTTATTTCAAGTAATCTGTTTTACTTTTTCATCATCTTATTAGTACGATTTCCTTATCAAAATAAGGACTAAAGAATCCTTATTGGATAACTATATTTGTATAAAATATAAAGGTATAAAAATCAAGCAGGACATGTCCATAGTTTAAGCATTTATAAAAAACCTTTTCTGATAAATGACTTTTTACATATGATAATTAATACCAAATGCAACTTTGTTAATTTATAAAGAAATCCTAAGTATTTCATACTTGATAACTACATATTTAAACTGATTTCATATATTTTGTCAGTTGAAAATTTAAAAAGTTCCCAAAGTTGAAATGCCAAAACCTGTGAACACTCTCGTCACTAAAGATTAAGATTTGACAATAGTTAAAACTGGTGTCATTAGTTAACGAACAATATAGTTATGTTTTTGTGCATTATGATTTTTTGAGAAAACGCCTTTCTTTGTAACTTTTTTTATATATCTGCAATATTCTAAAGTATTGTAAATAAAGCCACCATATAGGGTGTATGACAGCAAAGGTGCAAGGTCGTGTGTTCAGACGCGTCAAATTTTGACAAGGTTACTTTAGATGGTCATACTATGTTTCTAACGGTTTGATATAAATCAAAAGAATAATTGTCACTTTTGTATCAAAGTATGCATAGTCATGGGCAGGTAACTGTTAACGTAAATGAAACATTATCGTTCACTTTCATCAATTATATTTGATTAATGAGACGTATGAAAAGAAAAATGGTTTATTTCTCCTAATCTTGTAACAAGTCAATCAAAATTATAGCAATTTCAAAAGAGAAAAAATCACAGCGTAGTGAAAATTGAAAATAACTAAACTTACCACCTGTTATTGAAAGTATTACTTAAATACTGGTTTAATTACAGATTGGTATAACCTTTTTAAGTGATTTTAGTTCATTCTTACCTGAACATTTAAATCTGAAGTTGATAAAAACATTCTGAGTCAGATGCATGAAAAAGAATTAATATTAATGTTTTATAGAAAATCATATAAAAAAGATTTTTTTCCCACATTTTATCTATTGTTCTTGATAAATAATTTTATGAAAATTAAATTTTTTATTTACCAGGAAGGACCCAAAATTACCCCAAATGCCGGTGAAACACTGAAAAGATTTTGCAAGTGGCAATCTGAAAACAATGGTGATGAAGACAGCAGATCTCACTATGATACAGCAATTTTATTGACAAGGTAAATATTGCATGAGTTCTTACAAAGATCAACTGTGGCTTACAAAGCTCAACTGCTGCACTTAAAACAGAAAAATATGCAAAACATATTTAAAAAATATACTCTGAATAATTTAAAATATTTTTGTGCTATTTTAGCCCGATTTGCAATTTTTGACCATTTTTCACAATTTGAATAATCATTCTGGAAAAACAGAGCAAGGAATGATCTGAAATTTTGCACACAAATTTGTGGTCTACTCCAACATGAATTGGAACAGTAATCTTGAAAAATTATTTCCAGTCCTGTCATGTCAAAAATTGTCAGTTGAGTCCCTTAAAATTGTTCAACAAGATTTTTAAAGGAAACCTACATCCAGTTAATCATATATACAAGTGCCAAAACATGCATTTATATGAATAGATACAACCCCCTGAGTTGTCCTACTTTTATAAAACTGAAATATTTTAATTCTGAATCAGTCTGGATTGAAGTTGTTATAGATGACGGCTTTGAAAAAAAAAGAAAAAAGTAATTTGGATAAGTCCACAGGAGAAATAAAAATTTCCTAGTGATTTTCTAATGTTTGATACCTTACACTCTAGAATGTGCAATTTATTTGAGCTCTGATATGTGAATAAACTAATGACATTGAAAAAGAACAACTTATTACGAAAGATGAAAAAGAAATACAAATCTTTATTACAAAAGTGGAGATTACATGAGTCATCAGTTTAACCCTCAACATGGTTTAAATATTTAATTCTTGCACCACCAAGGTTGCATTTTGGGAATTAGGGGGCATAGAAAAAATCATAATAAATCAATGTTCACCAGTGAGAAAAATGCTTCTTCTTTTGGTTCGTGATTTTCATTTTGTTTAAAATTTTGTTGACACTTGTGTGTGAAGTGATTTTGAGATAAAAATTTATTTCATTTGATGAGTAACCATTTTGACTTAAAAGAAAACTTGCAACCCAAATTTTAGTTTGTTAAAATGAATGGTATTGTAAAATGAATATTTTTGAAATGTAGAGAAAAAATATTTATTTGAATTAAGTTTACTATATAAATGATAAGATCTATCATTCTATTTGATATTTGAGCAATATTTTATAAATAAATTAATATGCAAGCACTGATGATTCTAAGTTTGATTGAGAAATAATTATTAATTAATAAAGTTTGTTCAAATAGTTTATATATCATAATTATTGCTATTGTATAAAAATATTAGTCTATACATTGTATATCATGAACAATTTTGCAATGTATAAGTTGATACAAAGTGTCACAATAAAATTAACTGCAATATCTTTAAAAACATTGGAGATAACCTGTCATTTAAACTGTTCTAACAGGATACTGTCAGATTTTTTGTCTGGTATATACTTTGATAAAAACAAACCAATGACATCAACAAAAACTTTACAATTTTTTTGTCTGCAAAATCCTGCATCAGTAATTAGTTTATCAAAATTGATTACCTGTTTTGTATTATCTTACATAAAATGTTAACCCTATAAGCACATATTATTGATATCACATGGTGCACTAACAATGATATTTACACAACATGGTGCACTAACAAGGATATTTACATGACATGGTGCACTAACAAGGATATTTATATCATATGGTGCACTAACAAGGATATTTACATGACATGGTGCACTAACAAGGATATTTATATCACATGGTGCACTAACAAGGATATTTATATCATATGGTGCACTAACAAGGATATTTACATGACATGGTGCACTAACAAGGATATTTACATCACATGGTGCACTAACAAGGATATTTACATGACATGGTGCACTAACAAGGATATTTATATCACATGGTGCACTAACAAGGATATTTATATCATATGGTGCACTAACAAGGATATTTATATCATATGGTGCACTAACAAGGATATTTACATCACATGGTGCATTAACAAGGATATTTAAGTCACATTGTGCATTAACAATGATATTTACATGACCTGGTGCACTAACAATGATATTTAAGTCACATGGTGCATTAACAATGATATTTAAATGACATGGTGCACTAACAAGGATATTTATGTCACATGGTGCACTAACAATGATATTTACATGACATGGTGCACTAACAAGGATATTTACATCATATGGTGCACTAACAAGGATATTTACATCACATGGTGCACTAACAAGGATATTTAAGTCACATGGTGCATTAACAATGATATTTACATGACATGGTGCACTAACAAGGATATTTATGTCACATGGTGCACTAACAAGGATATTTACACCATATGGTGCACTAACAAGGATATTTACATCATATGGTGCACTTACAAGTATATTTACAGTAGTTTGATTCACTGTCTGGTGATTTTGTCATTGTCTGTGTGGCTCATTATTTCATTAGTGTTACTGAAAACACCTGTAACATCTTCAATGAAAAAGCCAGCTATTCTCAAAGGGAAGCCAAATTACCTTCTGAGAGAGCGTGACTTAAGAAATTAGGACAGGGCAATAGTAAAAGCTATTGCATGGATCATGATTTGTTTTGAAATGGGTACCAGCTGACAGTTGTGAAAGAAAGCCATAGAAGTCTGGCACATATCAGGGAACCAGCTGATTGCATTGAAAGGGAATCTAAAGTTAAGTCTGGCACAAATGCATTCATTGAGGAGGGGTAGTAGACTAATAATTAGCTAATTGCTCTCAACATTCTAAAACAGTGGGTGGAGTTGTTACATGATTACTTAATGAAAGTGATTGTTTCCTACAAAGCCAAATAATGGAGTTTTACTGTCAACTTTCATTGTATTGAGATTAGCAGAAATGTACTTTAGAATCAGAAGTCCTGAAAAAATCCAAAGTGCTTGAAGAAAGTAGATCTAGATCAGTAGTCCAGCAGGACAGCTGCTTAGAAAATAATTCACTTTTTTCTCCCTTGAAATCTCACTGTATGCCAAACACGATAATTAAGATTAAAAACCAATAACTTTGTATTATATAGTGTTTTACCAGACTATAGATAGATGCTATCTTGTTTTCTTGTGGAATTTGTTTTTGTGTCAATGAACTTGAACTCAAGTTAAGATAGGTTTTTTGTTTTTTGTTTTAGAAAAGAAATTATTTAAATGCCATGGGCTTCATCCATCAATACAAGAATGAGATAATAAAGAGTGACAGGGAAGAGAAATTTTATAAAGTATAATGTCTTAGATTTTTGTTACTACCAAAGCTAAAAGTTGAAAACATGAATTATTTTTTAATTAAATTTTTGTTATTCATTGTTTAAGTCAAATCTTACTACAGATTGTTTATAAAAGATATATTTCTAATTTTTGTCCAGAGACTGTTTATAAAACTCAATTCTATAGTTGTCTGTTGTGTTTTGGTTGTGCCTTTACAGACTTGGTATTTGAAAAAGTTGCTACGTGCTTATGTAAGAATAAAATTGTTCCCTAGTTTATATACAGGTCTCAGGTTCTTCAAAGTCTACATAAGGAACTGTTAAAACATATTTCTCAAAAGCTTTTTGTTGAATTTAACAACATTTTTTTTCTCGCTTACATTAAGAAATAGTAAAATTATTGAAGGAATAGTAAAGACAATAAAGGATCAATTTTGTTATTGTTATAATAATTGAAAACACTAAATATTTGGGTCAGTATCTGTCTGGATGCATCAGTGTGTGTTCAAAAGACAAAGAAGTTTAATTGGTGGAATCATTTGTCACCAGTAAATGACCTTTGTTTTCCCATGTTTCCACACTCAAGTCATATTGTTAAGCCTTTAGGGGGCAATTCATTAAGGTTCTTTAGACAGGGAACACCCTCAGTTCTATCCCGGGTCACAATAGTCCCTTTGTTATGGGGTATGTTATAAGGGTCTCAAAGCCCCTAAATTTCTCAAATCAGCATTGTCACTTGAAGTGGTCATTAATATTAAGTAGCTGGTAATTATGAAATTTAGGATTGTAATCATTTAAGATCAGAGTTTCAGCTGCCCTGACTGGGATGTGATACAAATTACAAGCTTATTGGAAAACTACTGTATTTCCTTCTTTGTTTGTTAAAAGATTGAAATATTATTGTGTTAACTTAAATATGATTGAAACAGACGTTACATGGATGCCATTGATTCAGACAAGGGCAAATTAGCTTTAAGGAATTTTGATTTAAATGGCAAATTGTAATGATGTTTTGGTAAGTGATATGAAGGCCTGGAATGCTTTACAAACCTTGAACTCCTTAAAGCTAAACCTGTCTCTTATGCTAATGTCACATTTTTAAAACCTTGCCTGTCTAATCTTTCTTTAATTCCTTCACCTGTAATGTAATTTAGTGGAAAGCAGTCACAATTAATTCAACTTAATTGATCATACCATAAGTGACATCATGCAAATGAGCCCCGTCATGACAAAAGCAACATAATGGTGCATCCGCGCAGTCTGATCAGGATCCATGCTGTTCGCTATCAGTTTCACTACTTGTAATAGACTTTGTAAGCGAACAGCATGGATCCTGATCAGACTGTGCGGATGCGCAGGCTGGTCTGGATCCATGCTGGTCGCAAACCCATAATGTTGGTTTTGTCATGACATGGCTCAAATGTTGTGTTTAGATCATCATTGACTGCATTTATTATGATTAGATTTATTCTGACACAATATAAACAAACCATTACAACAATTAGTCATACTTTTTACCTATTGTTTTTGTACTCTAAAACCACTAACAAGCATCCATACCTAAATTATTATGCATAAATCATCTGATGTAAATAAATGTTCTCTTGTCAATGACTTTTATGGCTGAAAAATAGATAAATTGACACAAAATGCAATAAATGTCAAAAGTGCAGTCTGAATTCAATAAAGAATGTTGTTACCAGTTTTGTAAATGGACTGTGACACTGATTCAAATAATAGGATAAAAAATACAACATGTTGTGTCAATACAAAAAGAACCAGTCCGATGTGTTTTAATTTTTAGTTAAAACATTTGTAGTGCTTAAGAAAAT